TGTTGCGTCAAAAATGATTAAAAACTAAGCATCTTTATCATCAGGAGCTAAATATAAAGGACTTTCTCTAACAAGGAACTGGATTTAGATCCTTTAAAACAGCAAAAAAAAAAACCCGCAAATCTCCCGTTAAAATACCAGAACGGAGTGCAACGTCCTGTATCAATTCAGCACTCCCGTCCTCCTCACACCTATGCACGTATCCTACAATTAAGTAGGAGCAAAAGTAGAGAACTTCTAGATTAAATCAGCGTGGTAAAAGAAGAAGAAAAAAAAAATAAGACGTAAATACCCCGGCACTAATTTGAAGAAGACATCAGAAGGGAGATCAACGTCCTTAAATATGAGTTTTTATCGAAATTCCAAGATGGAAGAGCCTGAGAAAAATATATGCACGAGTTGTCAGGTGAGGGGTAGACGGTTGCAAAGTGTGTGATATTGTAGAGGCACGCCCGTAACACACTGAAAAATCGGCACTCGTAAATATTAATGTTATGTCATAGAGTAGGGCAGAGATATGTTAGAAAGAGTGAGGGGGGATTGAGATCTTTTATTCTATTCTGAAGCGAATGCCTGAGGAGATTAAGGAAAGGTTTGTTTGCTAGAAACGGAATGACAGGTTTTGGTATATTCTTGTGTATCTTGTGTTTGTCTAGAGAGGGAACAAGACGAAGAAATGTTTACATCTTGCGACTTTTGAATCATTTTTAATATCAATAGATAGTAATTAGAAATTTGCAAATATGCCCTTAAACGAAAGGATGTGATATAATATTAATCATCATCATCCTGTGTTTGAGATCATTTTCATCAAATATTTTTACTTTATTTGCCTTTAATAAATATTTAATAGAATTAAATACTGTATAATTTCTATAAAATTATTCTTCTTGTTAAATTGTATTCATATTTTAGTTTACATTTTATAAATATGCGTTTTGTTCACTTGTAAATTTTTCTCGGACATTTTCACCTTTTTCGCCTCCATTTTTTTCCGTTTTTTTTCGTTTTATTAACTCCGAGCGTTTGTTTTAAGAACGTTTCTTACGCGTTAATCATTATTTTACGCGTAGTTTTTGGTTAAAATGCGCATTGTTCCGGTAACTCTCGGTGGGGGTTCGTGCATCGCGAGTCGTGTTTTTTAGTGAATTATGCGTAAAATTAATAAATTTTTCGGTGTTTTTAGTGTAAGACGCGCGTAAAATTTATTTTTGCGCGTATTTTTCGGATAGGGTACGCGTAGAATTTTATTTTTTTTCCATGTTTTTGAGCGTAAGAAAGTTATTTTGTACTCGATTTTCCAGCGGGTTATAAGTAGATAAACATCGTTTTTAATGTTTTTAAAATAGGTTATATTCAAAATTTTTATTCTTTTTCATGTTTGTAGAGTTATATTTTCTCAAAAGTTAATTTTTTTTCTTATTTTTTACGCGCAAAAAAGTGATTCCGCTCTTGATTTTTAAGTACATTACGCGTATAAAGACTTTATATTCCTGTTTTTTTCTTATAAAATTAGCTAAAAAATTACATTTTATATAATCTCTTGATAAAACATGCAGAAAAATGTTTTCTCCTTCGTGATTTTAAAGTATAATACACACAAAAAAAATTTTTTTTGAGCGATTTTCGATACTAAAATGACTTAAAAATAATTTTTTCGAATAGAATTTAAAGTAAAAAGTGTCCTAAATAATTTTTTGAATCATTTTATGAATAAAATAATTAATTATTTGAGAAAATTGGTGTATACATCACTNCAATGATTCATCTATCCATCGCACAGTTGCCTGGAGACAAGAACGTGCAGAAAAGGGTGTCCTGCAAGGAACCAATAGTCACAACCATTGGCCAACTTAATGATTCGGTGACATCACGTCAAACTACACCGGGCACGTCCCGAATTTTTTTTTTTTTTTTTAAATAAAAATCGAGTAAAATAAAGGTAGGTAGAAGTCACCCAATGCTAACTCCTCTTTAAGACTAAGTAAAAGTATTATTTATAGAGAAAAGTTTTGCTATCCTACAATAGAAAGTAAAAATACGACAGCGAAATGAAACTCGAACAAATATTGTTTCGGTGGACAAATCAATCGTTTCTATGCACTCCATTAATTTTTTAGCTGCGGGTCCTTCTGCATAATAAATGTTATTTGCTCGACAATGTTAGGATGTCCGATTGCCTCCAGCGTCATGTGTCTGGCTTTTCTGTTGGTTGACGTTTGGAAAATTTGTCCTCTCCGCCCTATATCTTGCCCTCTTAAACGTCAACGTCATCTTAGAAACAGGAACTACCCCTAGTGTAGCACCACAAAGCATTATTTAGAGGAATACGGGAGAAATTTTCTAATGGAAGCACTAAATCAGTCGGAGGAATTAAACTGGAAAGATGAAGGTAGTAATAATGCACTACCATTCATGAACTAGTATCTTTACTGCTACACAGTTTACCCGGGTTGCAGCACTTAAGTATGATACGTTTCGTGATATAAAACTAAACCCGAGGGAGCTTCGGCTTGAATTTGCAGTGTTTACTATCAAAAGAGTACTACCACGAAGGGTTTTATAATAAATTTTTAAATTAGGAGACGTTTCCATTCGTTTAAATACATCTTAAAAGCAACGTGGGAACGTAAAATCCGTTTGAACTGGGATAATAATAAGCTAGGAATAATAGGATCTTCCCATTGAAAGTGGCATTACGCTATAGAATTATAATTCTTCTTTACTATAGCCAGTAAATTACAATGATTAATACTACACAACCGAGTCGAAACACACACACAGAAGTTCATATGGCTGGTATATATTATGGCGTTATACATTGAAGATAAAGGTAGGGGAGGAGGAAGGAGAAAGAAGGCAATATCTAGAAAAGGCATTTTACTAGTGAATAATGTATAAATCTACGAATTTGTACTTAAAAAGAATTGATAAATAAACCGAGAGAGAGAGAGAGAGAAGATAAAAACCGGAGCGATAAGAAAAGTAATAAACGATATTTAAAATGTTTAACTTTGCCCTCCAATTAAGCAGCGAGGAAAAAACCGATAACGGAGGGAAGAAGAAAGAATGAAAGTGTAAAAAAAAAGGACCGTAAAACACCTAAACACGTCCAGGACGTCGTTTCATTGTTGGCAAAGAGCCTCGAGGCTCTCCCTCCATTACGAGTTCCGATTTAAATGTGAGAAATTATATTTTGAAAAGATGGCCATAAAGCAAACGATCCCGCAAGAAATAGTTAAAAAGAGAACTCTGATGCTTCTAAGAAAATAAATACATTATAATCAGTATATTAGGCAACGTTGCTTCGGGCTAAAAACAATACGCGATACCAATGACAGTTGTTACTAGTACGTGTGTTCGTCCGAGTCGCACCGGGACATATGTCACTGGTGCTATTCGTGTAACATCTGTACTTTCCCTCTGGCCTGTTTACTTTCCAGCAGTGTACATTTAGTGCAATGGAAATGCCATCATTTTTTTTCTTTTTTTCCCCCCTTCTTCGGATGTATCTACAGAGATGCGCGCTCCGCACCTTCATCTCGCTTCCATATCCGTTCCGCCGCGCGCCGTCGTACGCGACCTCGCAGATAAACCCACTTTAAAATATAGATTAATAATTAATGATGGCAAATCATTTAATACAACTTCCGCTTCTTCGATAAAGTAACTTTTTATTCATTTAATACGTTCGAAGGATTTGAATTTTATCTCCAATACGCGTGACGTTTATCCGCATTAAAAATTTAATTTTTAATCAAAAATTTTATATTTAAAAACTCGAAAATTGTATTTTTTAAAGAATATTTTATTATATAATNATTTCACTGCGTAACAATATAAATTTATTTCGCAAAAATATAAATGTCCGTTTCATTCTGCAACAATATAAAACGTCCATTTCACTACGTAACAATACAAAAATCTTGTTTTTATTTCGTAACAATATAAACATCCGTTTCACTTCGTAACAGAATAATTTTCTTTTTTCGCTGCGTAACAATGTAAATGTCAATTTCATCTTTAACACAACAAAAACTTCCGCCTATTTTTCTCCTATTTTTCTCTGCTTTAAAATTCAAACTACTAGAGAAATGTCGAACGGATTTTCCAATCGATGCTTAAAACTCCATTTATAATCTAAGATCTCATTGGATAAAGGGGAAAAAAATAAAAAATGTCCAGGTAAGTTTATAAATTTAAATATTTAATAAATTAATTGGAAACGTCACAAACGAAATTAAGGCATTGTTAAGTGGCATTAGCCCGCTGGAAAGCGTACAAGGGCCTAAATTAGGCTGATTAAATTCGCCCGTATCAGAATAAGTATATAAAAATGAATGAAAGCAAACTATTGGACTGCTTAACTTAACTGGTTACATAAATTTACACGCAATTGATGAAGTCGAAGATAACTCGACAGTATAAACAAGAGTCCCAGAGGTGTGTTGCTTCGATTTGTAAATCATTTGACAATTTAAAAAGCGCCATCTGCTCGGAAAGGATGTAATTAGTTTGCTGGGCTTACATAGCTCGTGTATTAACAGTCCATAATGGGGAGCTGTTGAAAATAGCAGGTGTTGAGCGCGCATTTCTATAATACCCAACCTCCTCTCACTCACTCTCTCCTCTTCTATATACCGCTTTGTTAACCCAACCGTCCTGTTATGCAATATAAACACCGTCTTTCGTAAGGAAACACTGTTTATTTTCTTTGGCAATATGATCTTGATAAGGCGGCTTATTTAAAAGCATGAAAACCACACACGCATATACACACGCGTGCGGGGTTATACTCGGTCTCCAAGTATGTTTATCCCTAGTGCTGCTTTCATCTAATACTAATACTACTACTCCTACTAAAAATATGATCTAAACATCTAGAAAAGATGGAAAAAATTTCCTTCTTTCCCCCCACCTTTTCGAGTGAACTCGAAATGTATTTAGTACAGGAAAAATGTAAGAAAGTCGCGCACATACTTTGCGGTCACCCCCTAACACCTAAGGCTATTTAGTGAATTTGTCGTAAAATTTTTTGAATAATCGAATAGGAGATAAGCTTAATGCATCGAACATGGAAAGAAACAGGGGAAAATCTCCAAAAATAGCATTAATACTTACCATTTTTAATTAGAACCCCACTAGAAGGATGGTGTGGAGTGTTGCCCGGTGTCAATCTGCAAATGTAAAAAAAGAATGTGGATATTTTTATTTCGAGATGTGAATAAAGATATACATCTAAGTCAGAATTTCATTTCATACACTCATCAAGATGTATTGGTTCTTTAATTTTTCGCACTGCTGTATCATAGTAGTCAGCAAATATAAAGATGGCCGCGGGGTCTTGTGGTGTTCCTCCCCCGAATTCTCTGTGGTAATGACTCTATCACGCTCCCTGCAGATTATTTGAATCCAAAATTGACGTCTATCAATTGAATTGCTGTGTTACAGTACCGGTAATAAATGAGTGTGGTGCGACTCGTAAAGGCTAGACTGATGGTGATGCATTCACTACTACACACGATTGAGTTACTATTGGGGAAAGTGCGTAACGTAGCCTAAGCCATTGCGAGCTTTTGATAGAAAGAAATAGAATGAGTCTTTCGATGAAAAGAATTGGTAATTTTTAAGAAATTTGCATATATTTTCCAACCAACAAGAGCTTTGACTTTGTTAAACTATCGTAGGGTTGAAGCCGAAACCCGAAAGACTTTATTCTATTTAGGCTGCTTATATCGCAAATAAGAAATTTCATATGCAAAATATAAACAATGATTCCCTCTCTCTCTCATTCTTACTTTCACTCTCACTTTACTTCTTTCCCTTTCTGTATTCTGCAGTTAAAATCATTTGCATTTGAATTTATTAATTTCTGCTACACCCGAAAGATTCTGATTAAAAGAAAAGAAAGTGAAAATGTAATTCTTTTTTCTTTCTTCTCCTTTCCCTTTTCTTCTTTGTGATATAATGAATTTTTGACTAGTTTTTCTTGCAGATTATACAATTTAATCTTTGAGCTGTGTCTGAAAATAATACAATGGCTGCAACTGTTAATAAATAAGTAACAATCGGGCCGAGCCTTCGTCTCCAAAAACAAATATCATACAGACCCAAAATGCATTCGTTTAACGGACCCTCGCTAGTGATCCGAACCCACGTTCATTTTTCCTCTCTACATTGTTTTTTTTCCATATTATACAATTTAACTGTGTTTCTATGGGTTAAAATGCGCTTAAAATTGACCGAAACGATAGAACCGTGTTAAATAAACGAGTGAAGAACTGCATCTTTGTCTTAAAAAAACATAACTTGGACCCAACTGGTATCGAACCTCTCACTAATTTAACCTTGTATTTCATTTAAAAATTGGGATCGAATCCCCGGCAGTGATCCGACCACGACCATTTTTTTTCTTTCTAATTTATACACTAGGATTTGGGCATTTGGCATTGCTTTTTATGGAAAAAAAAATTAATTTGTAGGTTTTTACGGCGGGGGACGTAGTCGAGTGAATACTTAAGATTAACACTAATGAGCGTTACCAATTATTAACTCTTTAAAAATCTGTCCGCGTATTTAATGATGAAGATATTGAGATGCAAAATCTTGGATTTGCTCCGATACGTGGCGTGTAACAGCCCCCTTCTGTATTTTAATTATAATGAGCGGGAGCAATTCCCATCAGATATACGAAAGGAAATGATGTAGTTTAATGGCGAGAGGAAAGATGAATAATTTTCTTGAGAAGGTATCGAGTTGTCACCAAATCCAATTAGTTGAATTTAGTAGAAGACAGAAGCTCTGTAATCACCAGCCTCAGGTATATATAGACTGTTCGCTAAGTTTGGAACAAGAAAAAGCGCAGCGTCGAACGAACGGCAGAAGGGGGGTAAAATAAGGAAAGGAGTATAAGGGGGAGGAAAGAATTTGTGGCAGAGCGTCGAAAAAACACCGTCCGTGCCAGAGAACTTAATCAGAGAGTTGTTATCTGTTGCCCACTGGCTAAGCCCCGGGTTGGACAGACTGCCAACTTCACCCCCCTACTCTTTCACGAACGCCCGAGGCACCGTAAGAAATAATTACCGTTCATTCAGGTGAACTATTGTGTCTTCGATAGTGCTGATAAAGACATCTTCCCGTGCAATTAGTGGAAGAGACGCGCCAGTCGAACAAACTGCTGCTCTACCTTCCGACTGTGTCTTCCAGGCACGTTCTGCCAACTGCAGAGAGTTTTTGCCATCTTCCATCACTTTTCGGGGGACAATCCGTTTGACGAACACCCCCAGGTTAGGGTTGCATTCGCTCTCTCTCTTTCCATCCATCCATCCCGTTATACGCTTGTCGCTAGGTGTGCAAATGCAGCAAAACTCGCTCTTGCATGCACCGTTCCCGGTTCATTTCGCGTCGCAACTTTCCCCATCTTCTCTTCCTCCCTCTCTCTCTCTTTTCCAATCCTCCTCCTCCTCCTTTGCCCTCCCCCCTCCTCGCATACTGTTCCTAACAGAAGAGTTTCCTCCAAGCAATTATCGCAGCGAAAAGTTGGTAAAGGTCTGGATTTGATTGGGTGGTCTTTCTTGTTTGCTGGACTTTTGCTCAATAACGAACGAAACAGAATAAAAGGTAGGAGATAGGGAAAAAGGAAAAGAAAATCTTCATATTTGCATATTGGCAAAAGGTTCAGGTATTGACATGAGCTACGTCTTGTTTGTACAAGTTGTAAAACTAGGCGCCGTGCTCCCCTCAACTTTTTATCATTTCGGTCCATTTTTCTTTTTTTTTTCCTTCTTCTACGCCATTTTTTCTGGAAATTTCTTCCCTCTTCCTCTTCCTCCCCCGTTCGAATTTATAACAAAACTTTTAAATCCAATCTTCATCTAGATGCGTGGAGTTACGCGCTCAAATTGCTTCAATTAAGACGACGAAGAATGGATGGCGGAAGAATAATCAAAGATGGCGACGGAACTCTTGACCCGGTTTTCCTTTACGGTCCCCTCCTAAAAAAAAGGAAATATAACAATATCGCACTTAGGGAGAAGCGAGAAGCATTGTTCGTAGAGCTTTATATTCTCTTGTCTGTTCGATCACTTCTGCTTCATCAAACAGCAACTGCGGCTGCTGGCCCTGTCTTGTTATCCTACCTGTTCAATTCTCCCCTCATGCGGGAACACTTTGAATGCCTCACAAGTTTGTCACATCGTCAATTTTCTTTGTTGTAACCGAATCAAGCATTCATAGTGGAGAAGATCTCGTAAGCGCGGCTCGAAGGTACCAAAATTATACGCTTTGCAAACGTTAAAAAACTATTTAAAAATTGATTATCTTTAACAAAATGGATACTTTATTAACAGGAGAGTAGATTTTATGAAAAACATTTTCAAAATTAAAGTTAATAAACGAGAGATAAAACTTTTAATGAGTAGTAACTTAATATCGACGATGATAAATCGACGTTTTTTTTAAATACAAAAGACGGATTGTATCGCACGAAAACTGTAAGTTTCTGTCTGTCAGCAGATCTTTAGGAGGAAACAGAAAAAAACCAACTAGCTAACACTAGACAGACTTATCAGCGCTACCCATCATTAGTAATGATGTCTCCAGGGGGTAAGGAAAGTGCACGAGCTACCCCAATGTTCATAACATGCACACATACTACTATGATATGTCGTTGTTTGGAGCCCGGGGCAGTGACGTACTTTCTCCACTTTATTGGTCCCTGGAACACGTAAATGGTTGAGATGATGGCCTAAATAATGTGTTCTCCAGGTCTTCAACCAAGAGCACCTTCTCCCTAAACTTCCTCCCTCGCTTTTGATAGTATTTTCATTTCTACCAAATAAACCATCTAAGCGTTGTCGGTTTATCTCACTTTATATCTGATTGTTCCCCCTATCGGGGTGTTAAAACTTAGTTACAATTAAGTAAAGAAAACCACCATTCAACGCTTTCAACCCTTATCACTCGCAGCAAAGCGAGGGGTGAAGTTTCAATTCAGGAAATTTTCTGCAGAGTAAGAAATTTCAACCTGGTTTCTAAAGACAGATATTCAAAGTACAGATTCGTATCTAGGGGTGGAATTAAGTCACGTGCCTTATTTTTTGAATTTCAAGCAATTCTGGACGGCAAACTCCCCAACAATAGAGGTTAAACCGGGCTCGACCTTTGTTCGCGGACTTCCTGCTTAATTCTTTTGAAGGAAACGTTAGAAGCGACGTTTTATTTAAAGTTAAAGACGTAAAAAAAAGATTTAAACTGTAAAAATTTGGCTTTAAACTTAATTGTTTATCGGAGACGAGAGAATTTATCTTTCTTCCTCATCCTCATTTACTTCTATAAATAGACAAATTGGATGTTGAAAGCGGCAATGAATTAAGCATTCCACCAAGGGATGGAGTCAGACACGAGATTTTTCTAAAGCAGTTTTATTAGTGAGAATTAATTCTTCATCTGTGACAACATGACAACACCAGTGTCGAGTGCACATCTTACATATTTTATTGAGCTGGATCAGCTGGATGCTGTAAATGATTAAAAATTAAGCATCTTCATCAACAGGAGTAAGGAAAAATAAAGTTAAATATAAGGACTTTCTAATATAATAAACTTTACAGGACTGTAAAAAAATAGAACTTAGTACTCCTTTAAAGTAACCGAAACAATAGAAAATACTACAAACACTAGAAACGAGCAATTTTTTTATTGTATTCATCAGCTTGATGATGATGACGATTAAAAATTAAGCATATTTATCAACAGAAGATAAATATAAAGGACTTTTTTGAATAAGAAACTTTATAGGACAGAATTTAGGTCCTTTGAAAAACTAAAAATCCCACAAATCTCCTGTTAAAATACCAGAATCGAGCACAACACAGCGTGTTTTCATTGCGTTGCATCGGCTGGATGCTGATGACAATTAAAAATTAATCATATTTATCAACAGAAGGTAAATATAAAGGACTTTCTCGAGTAAGAAATTTTATAGAACAGATTTCAGATCCTTTGAAACACCAGAAAATCTTACAAATACACTGTAAAAATACTAAATCATGTTGCGTCAAAAATGATTAAAAACTAAGCATCTTTATCATCAGGAGCTAAATATAAAGGACTTTCTCTAACAAGGAACTGGATTTAGATCCTTTAAAACAGCAAAAAAAAACCCCGCAAATCTCCCGTTAAAATACCAGAACGGAGTGCAACGTCCTGTATCAATTCAGCACTCCCGTCCTCCTCACACCTATGCACGTATCCTACAATTAAGTAGGAGCAAAAGTAGAGAACTTCTAGATTAAATCAGCGTGGTAAAAGAAGAAGAAAAAAAAAATAAGACGTAAATACCCCGGCACTAATTTGAAGAAGACATCAGAAGGGAGATCAACGTCCTTAAATATGAGTTTTTATCGAAATTCCAAGATGGAAGAGCCTGAGAAAAATATATGCACGAGTTGTCAGGTGAGGGGTAGACGGTTGCAAAGTGTGTGATATTGTAGAGGCACGCCCGTAACACACTGAAAAATCGGCACTCGTAAATATTAATGTTATGTCATAGAGTAGGGCAGAGATATGTTAGAAAGAGTGAGGGGGGATTGAGATCTTTTATTCTATTCTGAAGCGAATGCCTGAGGAGATTAAGGAAAGGTTTGTTTGCTAGAAACGGAATGACAGGTTTTGGTATATTCTTGTGTATCTTGTGTTTGTCTAGAGAGGGAACAAGACGAAGAAATGTTTACATCTTGCGACTTTTGAATCATTTTTAATATCAATAGATAGTAATTAGAAATTTGCAAATATGCCCTTAAACGAAAGGATGTGATATAATATTAATCATCATCATCCTGTGTTTGAGATCATTTTCATCAAATATTTTTACTTTATTTGCCTTTAATAAATATTTAATAGAATTAAATACTGTATAATTTCTATAAAATTATTCTTCTTGTTAAATTGTATTCATATTTTAGTTTACATTTTATAAATATGCGTTTTGTTCACTTGTAAATTTTTCTCGGACATTTTCACCTTTTTTCGCCTCCATTTTTTTCCGTTTTTTTTCGTTTTATTAACTCCGAGCGTTTGTTTTAAGAACGTTTCTTACGCGTTAATCATTATTTTACGCGTAGTTTTTGGTTAAAATGCGCATTGTTCCGGTAACTCTCGGTGGGGGTTCGTGCATCGCGAGTCGTGTTTTTTAGTGAATTATGCGTAAAATTAATAAATTTTTCGGTGTTTTTAGTGTAAGACGCGCGTAAAATTTATTTTTGCGCGTATTTTTCGGATAGGGTACGCGTAGAATTTTATTTTTTTCCATGTTTTTGAGCGTAAGAAAGTTATTTTGTACTCGATTTTCCAGCGGGTTATAAGTAGATAAACATCGTTTTTAATGTTTTTAAAATAGGTTATATTCAAAATTGTTATTCTTTTTCATGTTTGTAGAGTTATATTTTCTCAAAAGTTAATTTTTTTTCTTATTTTTTACGCGCAAAAAAGTGATTCCGCTCTTGATTTTTAAGTACATTACGCGTATAAAGACTTTATATTCCTGTTTTTTTCTTATAAAATTAGCTAAAAAATTACATTTTATATAATCTCTTGATAAAACATGCAGAAAAATGTTTTCTCCTTCGTGATTTTAAAGTATAATACACACAAAAAAAATTTTTTTTGAGCGATTTTCGATACTAAAATGACTTAAAAATAATTTTTTCGAATAGAATTTAAAGTAAAAAGTGTCCTAAATAATTTTTTGAATCATTTTATGAATAAAATAATTAATTATTTGAGAAAATTGGTGTATACATCACTACAAACATCACCCGAAGAAAAATTAGTGCGTAGGTCAAGTTTAAAGTTAAAATTTCGAATAATTTAATCAATTTATGTATAAAATCTATTCGAAATTAAATAAATAAGTATGTAAACTAGTTAAAAATATATTATTTTTAATTTTAAATGGTTAAATTGATAGACTTGGAGGGGGTGGAAGAGCGGAGTTTTTGCGTGTTGTTGTTGTTTGTCGGCCGCCTTTAAAAGATTTAATTTTTTTTCTGTTGTTTGATTTAATAAGCATCCGATATTCGTGGAAGGAAGAGATAAAATGATTGGTTGATAGAGAAAATTTCGATTAAGAAGCGAGTCGTTCATCAGAACAATTTAAGCAGAAACGTAAACGTCTTCAATCCACACATTATTGACTTCTGTACAAACTACTACAAACGACGACAAACTTTACTTCGTGTGTAACAAAAACTAACAAATTCTGTTCGATTGTCGAAAGTCTTTCATACAGGAACCAACCGGATTGTCAACAGCATCTGCGCTTTGTGTGCTAACCATTGGAAGCTTGAAAGAAAGAAGGGAGACAAGGGGGAAAGGAAGGACTAAAATGAAGGAGGAGAAGATGAGGAGGAGCGCGAGGAGGATTTAGAGAAGAGGAGGAGGAGGAGAAGAAGAAGAAGAAAAAAAACCTAACCCCTCGACTCTAATTTGTCTACGTTAAAGTCGATTAGAAGGCGGTAAAAAGTGCACGTTGTCGTAACAATTAAAAGGTTGTTTCATTCAATCTCCCCCTAGTTGATTGGGATTTTTATGAAGCAGCATCACAGACAATGCTTCAATTTGTATCTTCTGTACACACCTAGAAGTCTAAGGGCTTGAGGCAATGGATCGAAACAAGTATAGGAGGAAGGAAAAGTTGTCATTGGAATCTCCGACCATCAGATCCGAAGAAGCATGATTGTTTGCATAAGAAATTTCATCAACGTTCTCGTAGCTCCAGGTGAAATACTTTCGACATTTCCATACGATTTTCTCTCTAATTACAGACTAGCTACAAGATCTCGGACACAATGTCTTAAATACACATAAGTACTGTGCCAAGCCATATAAGTGTGCCTCAAGCTATTGGACCAGACATCGAGATTCATGCAAATATCTTTAACAGTCCCCCTTCTAAGTCTTCTAAACTCTATGAATTAACAGTATGTGTATGTGTGTTTGTCTAGGAGGCAAGCAACGTAAAGAAATTATATTTTGAAGCACCCCTGCCCTGGGTACTGTTGTGATTCGCGTGTTGCATCAATGGGGTGCATCCCGTGTACCAATATTCAGGTTGAGTTTCTGAAAATCCGAGATTAATCTGTTACTTCTTTATGAAGATTTTATAATTGTAACGGATGTCTACTGATATTCTTACCTCTCCTTCAGTTTTATGAGGAAAAATCCCCAGGATTATCGACTAAATAACCGATAATTTCCTTATTTAAACGTCGAGAAAATTATTGAGCAATTTTAGGGAAAACACTGAAAAATTTTCCCCCGAGCGAGAAGAATTTGATTAAAATTCCTCATTTAAATAGTTTAATAAGTGGAGAACATTCTTATTTAATGAACTATGAAGGAAAGTTGTTATTAATCCTTACTTTCTAGGAGAAAATTTAGGGGAAAAAACCACAAAAAATGCTTTGAAATTAAGAGATTTTTTTTTACTAAAATTCCTCGTTAATTAATTGAGGAAAATACACTAAATTTATAGAAAATTAAGAGGATGCAACGACTCCTTCCATAAATTAAGAACAAAAAATTCATCCGTTTTAAACGAAAAAAATCGCAACCAATGACAGAAAATCTTACAGAAATATCTTAAAAAATTATAAAAGTTTGAAAATAAAATAAATTCCCATTCGTTTAATAAAAATTTCATTTTTTTTAAAGAGAAAAAAAAATACATGATTTAAATCGTTTCTATTTATCTAAGTTTTAATTAAAAAATGAAATTTCTACATTTCTATTTAATTTATTAATAATTAATTATAAAAGAATGGACAAGAAATAATAATAATAAAGTGTATAAAATTCTTATCTTTGTTTGTTTATCAGGACGATTTTGAAAGATTAAAAACTGTTTAAATAAAAATTATTTATGTTACTACAAGATAATAAACATTTATCGAGTAAACACGACTAAAATGAATTATTTTTTCTCTTACTTTTTGTGGTTTGATGAACATTTTACACTTTAAAAACATAAAATAAATAATAAACTCTATACTCACAAAGCATCTCTCCAGCATCTCTTCATCTTCATCCTCATCTTTCTTCTCCAGCATCCTGTGGACATAAAACAATTTTTACTGTTTCATACTGAAACACGTTAACCTCCTCTTTTTAAATATCATAAGTTTAATGTTTTATACAACACATAAATTTTATTATTTAGTTAATTATCTTCCAGCTTAAGGTTTTTATAGATATTAAAGGGCTTGAAACGTTCCGTCCTGAAACATGTTAATCTATGCGCTAGCATTAAAAAAAAACTATGAGTTTAAGGTTTAAAATGCGCATAAATTACTATTATAAATTAATTAAGAGCAAATTTATTCATTAATTAATTAATTAAATTCATTAAAAAGCAGATAGGATGTTGATGCTGCATCTCCATCATCAGCATCCTCCATGTTTTAAACGTTCCGTTATAAAATATATTAATTTATTTGATATAAAATGTTTAAAAAATGTGAGATTTATGTGTTAAAACTGTTAATTATGAGCGAATTTATTGTATAATGGTGGAGTTTCTTGGTACTCGACCACTATTATGTTTGTTATGGTAGGGAAGTTGACATCTATTCATTGTAAGATGTGGAAAATGGGAGAAGCTACGTCCTGTCGTGATATTGTTTACTCTGGTTAATCTGTCTGCGGTTACAAAACCCTGTCTGTGAATGGCTCCCTATTGAAAGTATAGTGGCTAGGTAACACCGCATAAGATCTCTCAATAGTCCCTCCCTTATAGTTAGCCAAGGAGGCGGTCGAGTGGAAGTAATAGCGAGGTGTCTGCCATCACACCCCTCCTGTGAAGATTCCAGATGGTTTTCCCGCTTGTGTAGTAAGTACAAGGTCGGTTAGTGGTGCCATACTAAACGAGCTTTATTCACTTCAATTGTGGATCCACAGTTTAGCCCCTCTCTAACACCGGATATCTGGTACAGTTAGACGAATTAGATTGGTGAGAAACAATCAGTAACGTTATCTCATCAAGCGGAAGATGAAGGGGGATTGATCTCCAACGCCCGAATCCTCACCCCCTATAAATGACTCCTGTCTTAGAATATTTGGGCCTTTCTTTATTAATTATGAAGGTAAAAGCGGCTGAGGAACGAGGAAAACCTCGGGTTTTACCAGAAGAAAACCGGTGAGAATTGTGTTTAATGTGAGGTTTTTGTGTGATTCTGGAGTGATTATGCGTGAAGATTCGTCGACAGGAATCAATGAGGAGGTGCACAAGTGCATAGACGTGTAGCATTACACAAGATATGAATCTCGTACTAATGAGGACATACTTATGAATATTGCATTAGTGAGGAAATGCCTCTGGATATATTCGTTAAGAAGACGTCTACGAAGCGAGTTAACGAGGAAATGCAGCTATTTAACTATAAATAAGAGATACATCGTTATAAATGAATGAGGAAACGAGGTAATTTAACGAGGAAAGAGCTACGAATCGAATAATTTAAAAAAAAATGCATAGGTGCGCCGAGATAACTGCGAATCTACACGTGTAAGATGTAGGATAGATGGAGTTATGAGGAAATTCGTGAGGAAATGCGTAGATTTATGTAATTATCGGAGAAAATGAATAAGGTGAATCAGCGAGAAAATGCAACGATACGGATGAAGGTAGTAATGAGATGCTGACGAATGGAATTATTAAGGAAAAAACGTGAACGGCTGAAGTAAGTGAGGTTTATTATTGAGAATTTGCGTGTTATATTTTTAATTGGATTGAGGAAATAAGAGGAAAAATGTGGAACGATTGGATAATTGATAGAAAGAGGCAGACTTCCGTAATTATTTAAACTGCTAATGACTAATTATCAATGCAAACGAGATGGAAGGAAAATGTAAGAAAGCGAGAGTGGATTTTAAATGATTTACCTGTTACCTTTTCTCCTGTAAATCACACATTCCCGCAGAGCAAGGAATTGAGTGTATCTTGACCGAAAACGACTCGTATGGCTGTCGTTTTAGGCCTAACTCGTCCAGCCATGTGGATAGAACCGCCCCCATTTGAGGAGAAGAGACGTTTCGTCGCCGCATCATCCAATCAGCAGTCGGCAAACGTCTGCCATCATGTAAAGGGATGCGGTGCTTCGTTGACGAAGAGGATCAAACATACATTTGCCGACAGTATCAGCTAGATCCGGAGCATCGGGGGGTGTCTGTGTTGCTTCTCGCCCACGTGATCCGGTGCACGTGTCCTCCGGGCCCCCCCGAGCCACGCCCCGCACGTTAGGAGGGCCGAGGTGACAAGGCGCGTGTGCGCAAGTCCCTGCGGCGGACTGTCTGACTGGCCGACGTCACATCTTGACCACTCCAAGCCAAAATTACCCATCAGAAGGTATTGTCTACTGCCAACCCGCCGGCTTCTGTCCAAATACTCGGCCTGCGGGCTTCCTCGACACACTTCTCCTATCGTCCTGTTGTAAGTCTGTCATGTCTTTCTTGGCGTTGGAGTCTTGTTCGTGGCAGGTAAGGATGTAGCTTTAAACCTAAACCTGCTTACTTTACCTACTCTTACTAGTTGATTGTAGTGTGTATCCATTCAAATTGGTGGCATTTATATAATCCCACGCGCTGTTTTTGCCTGGAGTAAGGAAGAGGGAGGGGCGATGTCTTAAGCTGTCATGCCCGAAAGCTAGAGTCCGAAACCGAGGGGGGTGTTTGTAATAGCGACCTGTTGGCTGTCACTGTACCCCGATTACGATCCGAGCCGGGGATTAAGCTAAGGTTACCGGCCACAAGAAGAGCCCTAGAGCGCTGCCATGTCTACACTGGTGTTTACTCAACGTTCCAGTAAATGTACGTCAACAAAGTTTAGCCCCTGGCACACAGTCGGCGGCATTTGAGGAGGATATCTACAGCCGGACACGGACAGACAGACAGCCCATCGTTTCGTTATATGACACTTGGTCAAGGTTTTCTAACAAAGCAAGGTAAGGCATTCAATTGCTGGCCAAAAATGGCCTTCGTCTTCTTCGTGTAAGCTGCCTTTCCCTCCCAGCTACCGCGCTTTGCAGTCAAGCTACACGTCTCGCCTTCTTTAAATTCCTTCTTTCCGCTTATTTCTTAACTTTACCGTCGTTTAATTAACTTAAGTACTTATTTTACTAATTACCCTTATTTCTTTCCGTCGCTCGTAATATAAATACGCATATGCAACCGATTAATGATCGACTTTTTAATTATCGTCGAGGCTCAGAATGCTTCTATTAACTATAATTGCCTGATTGCTACGGCCCGTAAAACGTTTTAAATCACGTAAAACGTTTAAATATCAATTAACCTGACGACTAAATGACGTAGAAGGGTGTGAGACTCGGCCAAGTTGGAAAAATGGGCGACGTTTAAGTCACCCTTTGATGCAAGAACAATTAGGCCAAACCTCATTATTAGCTAGATTTAGCTCGGTTCACCCTCCCTACAGATTTAGTGGTGTGGTTTTCATAACAGCTGCTCACTTGGGTAACATTCACATGGAAAACTGCATTTAGAATTAAGCTAGGCCGTATAAAGACCAGCTTATCTATCTTTTCATTCTATTCAATGTCGTTTAAGCTTCTGCTGGTTCCTAGCCTACACAATTTTAGCATTGAGGAAGGCCTTTTTTTTATAAAGTGGACCGGATTACATGGCTACCAACAGTAGGGTCTCTCTACTTTCCCCACCATTTCTCGATCTGACAGCAGCACCTGTATTTGATGTCTTATACAGGAGTGAATATTGAATGTTAGATACGAGAAATGAGGGCTTAAAGTATATATTCTTTTGCATAACTCAACGTGAATGGGGGTGATGTATGTGTGTCAGGTAAGCCATTTTTTATATTTAAAATTTTCTTAACGTTCTTCGCGCATCTACAGCACCATTGCTCCTTCTTATCTCTGTCATTGTCGATAACTAAATTGATAGTAACCCGGAGCTTAATGGTCCTAATCACTGCATTTAGCTATGGCTATGTGATAGCCAACGAATTTCACGCTCTTCTTGCTCCCAGCGGTGCCTCCCAGCCAGTAGATCATTCTTTTGATGGTTGATTTCCTGGCTTTGCAACTAACTTCATACAAACATTGCCGACACGATGATTATTTGTGAGTAGAGTGTTTAGTTTGTCTCCAATACTTTGGCAAGTGTCAACACGGCTTGACAAGAATGACGTTTCAACATCTCAAATATTTATGGTAGCATTTTTTATGTTTTTTTTATAGTTATAAAATTAAACCTATCAATGTTATCTTCTTTCATTATCCGTATAAGGATAGCCTTATTATGCCTGCGATAGGCTCGTAAATTAATAAGGATAGTTTGCTCTTAATAGGCCTTTAACTGATAAGAGTATTAACGAATAATTTGCCTTTAAATCTCTAATTATAATTTATTTTAATCTTCTACTAACTATTTTACCCTATTTCCAAGTCATTTTTTCCTGCTCCTACCTATTTGTGAAGATAACTTACCTTTGTTTCTACCAATTCTTATCACTGCTCCCTTTTTATTAATTTTAAAGACTATTTTACTTTTCTTTGTGTAAACGTAAATTATTTTCCTCTATTTTGATAGTTATTTTACTTATTTTTACAAGCAATTAATTAAACTTGTTATTTATAAAGACAGTTTTTTTCTTATTCACATCCAATGTGTTTGTTATAGAGATTTCTTTCCTGTTTGTCAGTGCAGAGATATTAAAAGGGAATTTAGGGATATATTGCGATTCGCAATCAAGCCAGGTATTTTATGGAACTTTCAATGTTCTCATTCGGTTTACGAAGAAATACTTTCAGTTACTTTCTAATATTAACAACACTTTGAACTCAGTTACCTTTCCGGCATTACCGTAGCTTTTAACTGGTTATCTTTACTGCATCCTTCCAAATTAGAAATAGTAACTTACAACAGTTTGAATGTAATTATCTTTATTGCATCCTTTCGTTTAAAAGCAGTTAATTCTCCAGTACATTAGAAAAATTTTCTACAGCATTAAGAGTAGTTTCCTTTTCGGTATCATCACGTTTTAATGGCAATTTTCTTTATCATAGTTTGGAAATAGTTTCGTTTAAAGTGTCATCACAGTTTAAAGGTAGTTTCCTTTACAGCATCACTGTAAACAGTAACTTGTAACTGTTTGCAGCACCAATACAGTTTGAAACTTTAACAACACCACGCTAAAAAGTTAGGTATAATTCTCCTTCAACAAGATACAACACTACATTTCCTCGTCAGAATTACACCCGTTACCCCAAACAACATCCCCCAATGCATTTCTAAACTATTTTAAATCCCTATTTACACAGAAACCCCTGCAACCAATTTAACAAAGAGACTTTTCCATATCAACAGATACCTTTACCTTATCAAAAGCTAGGCGCGTGGGTATTTATCCATCATAAACATCACCAGTTTAATAATACTCTCGAATGGCGGACATTATCTTAAATAAATAATATAAAGGGGGGAGACACAATTTACATAGGATAAAATATATCAAAGTACATTTATTGCCAAAGGCAAGTAGCAGACAACAGGTGAATTAATGACAGTTTTCTCTTCTTTTTTTTTTAAGTTCTTGTGTGCCAGAATGGTAGTTAAGACGTAAATATCTTAAGTTGCAATGAGCCAAAGGCACAATGTTACGCTTCTCGCCTTTACTTTGATCAATGACCTTGAAGTATTTGGCTACCAACGTTCTTACAAGAGTAATTTAATTTCGTCGCTTCTCTTAAGTTAGCCTGTAATACCCTGGAGTACACTCTCTTGACAGAAGTAACCTTTTTTTTTTTTTTTTTTTTCCTAGACACTTCTAAGGCGGAAGATAATACGAGACGTCAAGTAATCAATGAACACTTGTCTACGCATAGACAGTCCATTCCGTTTTTCCGATTTTCCAGCAATTTCCACTTTGCTGTCGAATTTTTCTCCTACTCTTCTCGAGTAGTTTGTCGATAGAGTTTTTAGCCATTCGGGTTAAAGGTCATTCTTCATGCTAAACCGGGCATTTCTCTAGGTGTTTTGCTTACGCGTTGTCGTCTTCAGGCCACCTTGCTTGAAGTTTTGTCCACTTATCTACATTGCCCTTAATGTAGGCGAGTGTTTCACGCTTTGAAAATCCCTTAAAAGTAATAAATTTTCGAGTGTTTTAAGGGAAATTTACGGGGTCGACTTAACACCTACCTAAACTTAGGCCTCTTTCGCATAGGTTAACAACACTGATGGATTGTTTGCGCGTAGGGAAAAGCAGACTAAAAATGCATAAAATTTTGAATTTTACAGGTAATTTTCTTAAAATATTTATTGATTTATTATTTTATAAGCATTTATTTACGAATGGTGTCACGGCCTTAACAAAAATAAGCCTGACGTAACAGTAAGAATGATTAAATTTAAGTTTATTCTCCCGTTTAATCCGAGAATTGAGTCATATTTTTACGTATTTTAACTGAAATTTACAGTAGAATTAGGGCCTTTCTATTTATAAACGTGGGCAAGTAGGCCTTACAACTTAAAGGCCTCGAATACGTTTAATTTGGATTAGTTAACTGTCAGATTTATTTAAATTTGCGAGGAGCCAATAGAAACGAATTTAAAATAATCAATTATAACAATAGTAAACGTTAAATGTTGTCACATTTCAATAGTTAAACGGTTAATGTTTGACCGTTAATTATAAATTTGAATTTAAAAAATAATATTTCGGTTAAATCATTTATAAATTTCTGTTTTACAAATGAAGAGGATTAATTCGAATTTTGTAATATTTTAAAGTAAAATGTAACTGTTTTCTTAGACTCAACACGAACCAAAGTAGAATGCGTAACTGATTAAAAAAACTCCAAAAATACGAATAAAACTTTAAAAAGAATACAAATTTTACAAAAAAATACAAACTTCCATTGTTAAATAACGTTTGAAATCCATTTATTGGCCATTACTTTAAGCAATTCTTTAAAAAAAATGCAAATT